CTGTTTCAAGGGGGTGGTTAAAAAAAACCCACACTCAATATTTCAGTCAATCGAAATTCAAAAAAAAAAATTCAAAAAAAAAAAAAAATTTTGATCTCAATTACAAAAGTCTTTCGTTTCAATATAATTTATATATATTTATAATAATGAAAAAAAATATAAGAGAGATTATTCTTTATTATCAAATCAAATTTTATCTATCTATTCAATATAATCGGTCAAACGATTAATGACAATAATGTTAATCAATCAAATCGCTCATTTTTCATTTCATTTTTGTTTTACAGTTTGAAATAATTATTATCAAAAATTTTAGCTACACTGGAATGCCCTTTGCCCTCCACACATATGCACAAACACACACACACACTTTAAATACAAAAATTATATCGAGAAACCCAGAATTTTTTTTTGTTTCGTCAACGGCTTGAATCCCATGAATGGCCTTTTTGTTCTCAATCAATCTTGCAGGTTTATCTTTATCTTTTTTTTTGTTTTGATTATTATCGATAAAAGTGTTTATGAGTGTGTGTGTGTGTGTTTGGTGTGTTTGTTGATAAAATATTTTATATTTCTTTAATCTGATAATCCACCTATTCCCACTATTACTATAGTCACTTATTAGATTTTCACCTATATAGTTTTTTTTAATATTAACCCCCTAGTCTCTAATCAAGCGATAGATTTTCTTTATTCACTAACCATCAACACCACAATCCATTAACAATCACCAATAATTTTTTCACATAGTTAACACAATTAACTAAACTAACCTGAATTAACATATATATAGGATAATCATCATCACTTTGAATGGGGCACAACCTTTCTTTTTCTTTTGAACACCACCTTTTTTCACATACATACATACACACACACTTAATATATACATCACATCACATACACACACATATAGCAAATCTTAACAACATAAACAACACACACACACAAACATTGATGCTAACCAATTAAAAATCAAATCCTCTTTTATCTGTTTAATCTGTTTGTCTCTCTCTCTTGCTCTCTATAAATATTTTTTCCTTTCCTTTTTTTGGTTTCGCTATGTTTTTTCCCAATTTTGTTTTTGTTTCGCTGCAAAAAATAATAATAACAAAAGAAAACAAAAAATCTAATAATTTTCCAATAATTCTCAAAATCTATCTAAATCTAAATCTATCAAATTTTTCTTGCATATATTCTCTCGCTCTCCATATATATACTATTCTCTTAATTCTTATTGATTATTGATTATTGATTAATTATTTGATTATTTGATTATTATTATTGAATTATTAATGAATGATTTATTAATTGATTGATTGATTAATTCAATATTATGCAAAACAAAAAAACAAAACAAACAAAAAAAGATTTTTCAATGATTATGATTATTTAACAAAAAAAAAAAATTTAACACTGAATCGAGATAACTAAAAAACTAACTGCAACAAAATTTTTATTGTTGAAACAAGAAATTGATAATAAAATTCTTTCATTCAATTCATTCATAAAATCAGTTATATCTAACTAATTTAACTATATAGTTTTAGTAGTTTTTTTTGTTCGGTTCCACTTTCGATATTGATAGTTTGCAAAACAAAAAAAAATTGTGCATGTGGATATTCATCAAATTTATACAGTTTCATCATCTTAGTGTCATCTGTTTTAGTGTCATCTTTTCACATTCAACAAACAACAACATGATTCCTGATGGCATGTTCACAGTTAGATTTTCATTTTTTTTCAGCTTTTCTAGTTTATTTTTGTTTGTTTTCCGGCTTTGTCCTATTCCTTTTTCCTAATTGATTATTATTATGATGGATTTCGATGCTATTTTTCCAACAACAACAAAAAAAAACATCAAAAAATCAAATCGCCAAACAAACAATCAAACAACAACAACATTGAATCTAATCTCTGGTCACAAATCACTAATATTTTCACTAATAATATCATTATTTCACTAAATTCACCAACCAACCAATCACCACCACCACCACCACTATATAACCAAATATCACTACTACTACTATTTTATCCTCGCATCGATTTTTAAAATTAATTAACCTTGATTGATTGATTGATTGATTGATTGATTGATTTGATTTGATTCGAAAAAAAAAACTTTAACCAAACTAACCAAACTAACCACTAAACACAAACATTATTTTTGTTCACCTATTTTAACAAGAATTTTTTAAAATCTTTATAGATTAAGTTAACTAGTTTAACTAAATTTTAGTAAATTTGACTAAAACGAAAAAAAAATCATTACTAAATCTGCGCGTTTATGTATGTGTGTGGCAATGTGTATAATTTCCTTTTCCTTTTGTTTTTTGCTTGCTCGATTTCCATATTTCGGCTGCTTTTTTGTTTCAATTTGATGATGCTTTTTTTCCCCATTGAATTTTGATTTTTTGTTTTTTGTTTTGAATTGGCCATCATACTTAAGGAATTACAAACACACACTTACACATACACTATATATGTCTATGTTGAAATTGTCTGGTAAAAGTTTCAAACTCTGATAACAAATCCTAAATTGCGGTGCTTGCTTCCTTTTGAACAAAACAAACAAACAGGTGAAAAAACCCCCTTGTCCAATCCATATAGTGAGCATTTGTTTCCCCCTCATATATATACCCCCCTTTCTTAACACTTACACACAGCATTCAAGCATATATTTATACAAACAAAACGAAAAACATTTACACAAAAACATCACTATTAGAATAATATATTTCAAAAAAAATTATGAAATGAAAACAAAAACTTGAACTGACATTTCATTTTTTTCTCTCTCTCTTTTCTTCTTTTTTTTTGCTCTTCCTTTCATTCATTTATATCATTCATATCAATATCTATGTCTTTCATTGAAATTTTCATTACCATCCGTAATTCGCTTTCCGCTAAAAAAAACCAAAACAAAACAAAAATCTCTTTCTATAATCTCTATCTTTTTTTGTCAACAATTTTCGACGAAACAACATTGATGATGATGATGAAAAACATTCTTCAATCCTGATACACAAATCCAAATCAATAATTTTTTCCCAAATTTCCATTTTTTTCGCTTTGTTTTTTTTTCTTTTTTCCGGAAACTTTTTTTTGCGTTTTTCTGTCCCTTATTTTTTTTCTTATTTTTTCTGATTTTTTTTGTTTAAAAAAATCAACAACAACAACAACGATGATAATGATGATAATGATACACACGTGATTGATTGAATCGATCATTTTTTTTCTCTCTCTCTTCGAAATTCCATTTCGAACACCCATTTTCACTCACACACACACACACACACAATATCAAACACTTAACCCTTTTGGTTCAAAATGGTTTTTTTTAATATAAAAATCTTTTTCTGATGGCTTTCTTTATTCCTTCTTTCTTCTTTGTTTCAAAATGCTTGATTTTGTTTGTTTTCCGTTTTGTGCTGAATGTTTAAATATTTTTTTCCTAATTGCCTGATTGATTCTTTCACTCTCTATCTTTATCCATATCATAAAAAATGGATTAACACTCTGTGCACACACACATACACACACAAACAAAACAAAACACGCAAAAACCCAACACAATTTGCACAACTTTTTATTTAATTTGATGAAAACGAAAACTTTTGACTACTAACTTAATTCTTATATTGATCATAATCGATATCTATCCATCTCTTTCTTTGGAATTGTCTCTTGATTCCAATTTCGATCGATTACGATGGGTATAAAGATAGCCCGGTAAAAAAGAGTTTTTTTTATAAATTGGGAAATTAAAAACTTACTAACCGGGATGATTATTTTTTATTTTCTCTATTCTCTCTCTCGATATTTAATTTGCATCACTGAAAATTGCATCCGAAATTTATTTATTTTTTTGATTTTTCTAATTTTGTTGAAAAAATGTGTGCGTGTGTGATCCCGTGTGTGTTTGTGCGTGTTAATAATAATACGTGTGTGTGTGCGTGAATGTTTTTATTTAATTGCGCGATTTTTATTAATTTCTGATAATTCTCATTACGGAATTTTTAATAACCAAAAAAATTAACACACACTCACCCACCCTACATACACAACCAACCCTAACACTATCTAATTGAAAAAAAATATAACACAACCACACACTCACATTTACCTTATTTAAAAAAAAATCTTGATCATTCAAATTCCATTTACGGTTCAATTCAAAAATTCGATTCAATTCGATTCGATTGGGGTTAACGAAAACAACTTAATCACGTGATTATTATTATTATTCATTCTATCTTCCTTTCTTGTTGATATTCGTATGATGTTGATTATTATTATTTTTATTTTTCTGGTTTGCTTTTTTTCATTTTTTGGTTACCGAAATTTTTTCCCTCCCCCCAACCAAAAATATATCTTTCCCATTTTTTTTTTCTAAAAAATACCTTTCTATTGTCCTAATTAAACACTTTACACCCACACACACTTACAATACATTCACCAATTCAATTCAATCAATCAATCAATCCATCGAATTAAATCAATATCAATCAATCAATCAAATCAATGAAAATCAAATAGTTACGTGTTGTACGTGCATTTCGTTCAACATTAGAAGATATGGAAGAAAGACGTTCATGTCATTCATTACATAATTGTTTACGTCAATCACGTTCACATCCAAGTCAATTACGTAGTAGTTTTTCACAATTTCCAATGGCTATTACAAATATTAATGATATGATGATAATGACAACAACAACAACAACAACAACCGTAACAGCTAATAATCAAACACCATCAATCATTTATAGTAATAATAATTCAACATCAAGTAGTCATAGCCAATATTTAAGTACATCAGCTAGTTATGGTGTTGGTGGTGGTCAAATATTGATTGATCAACAGCCACAAAGTCGTCATCATTATCATCAAAAACAACAACAATCAGTCAATCCAAATTATTCTTATACAACAACAAAATCTGCCTCACAACAACAACAAATGCCAGTTGTGCCTGCAATATTACAGCCAACAACAACAACAATATTATCGAAACAATCGGCCAATCTAATAAAACAGCCACATATGATGATGATGATGTCACCAACAGCATCAACAACATCAGCAGCAGCAATATCACAACAATCATCGGTAAATATTCGACCACAACCAGGTATACCATCAGCTGTACCTGGTACTATTGTTACTTATACAGTTGTTAGGCCTTTAAATCCACATAAAGAATTACGTTCACATCAATCAATTAATGTGCCTATAGAATATGATGATTCTATTACTAATATTGATGATTTAAATATTGGGACTGGTCAACAAAATCAATCGAAACAAAAATTATCAGAAACTACAGAAATGGGTCAGAAAAATGATAATAATGATAATGATGTTGGTGTTGAAAATCAAACAATCGATTATCGTCATAGATCTGCATCACAACAACGTTTACAAGTTGAACGTTCACGTTCAGCACCATATTCAATGTTATCATCATCAACCGATGTTTATCATCATAATCAACCACAATCAAATTTATCAACATCACAACAACAACAAGGTGTTCAAGCTTATTATCATATTTCATCACCATTATCAGGTCATGTTAGTTCACATTCAAGTACAAGTAGTCTTGGTGGTGGTATTCAACATGGTGGTGGTGGTGGTGGTGTTGTTGTTGGTGGTGATAATCTAATGATGATGATGGCCAATACTTCTTCTTCATTAATACGTCGACATAGTTCCAATTTTAGTCATAGTTCAAGTTGTTGTTCATCCGATAATGATAATGATGATTTTACCGGTAGTAGCCGATCAATAAGTGTTTTAAGTAATACTAGTATAAGTTGTAGTAGTGGTGAAAGTGGTGGTCATCATCATCATCATCATCATCGTCATAAAGGAAGTGGTGGTAGACGAAAAAGTCATTCATCCGGTCATCATCATCATCATGGACGACATTATTCACAACAACCATTACATCATCATCATCAACATCATCGATCACATTCAGATCGACATCGATCTAGTTCTTATCATCATCATCAACAAAAATCGAATCAAAAACCAGAAGTAATATCATCATCTGGTCATCATCATCATCATCATCATCATAGACATCATCGACATCATGGACATCATGATGATGATGGCCATCATCGTCATCATCATCACCATCATCATCCACAAAAAACAAGACGATCATCATCATATCGAGAGCAAATCGAAATATCCAAAAGTAAGCCTTTTGTTTTTCAATTCAAAATTCTATAATGAATTTTTTTTGCTTGCTGCTTTTCATTTGATGATGATGTTTCTTTCTTTCTATCTCTATCTATTTATCTTTATCTGTGTGTGTGTTTTTTCTCTATTAATCAAAATATTCTATTTTTTCGCATAAAATTCTTATAATAATGACTGTCAATAAGAATTAAATGTTTGCACTTTGCTGATGAATTCTGCAAAAAAAAAATGATTATGATTATTGATTGAAATAATAATAATAATAATTATACAATAAATATTCTCTATCATTTTCAGATTATGTGCCCGTAAGCCCACGAAAAACTAGCCAACAACAACAACATTTACAAATACCGGATTTGGATCCTCAATCTTCACATCATCATCATCATCATCAACATCGTCGTCATTCACATTCAAGATCACGTTCAAGATCAAGATCACCATCAACAACAGGATCGACACATCATCATCAAATTGCTGCCAAAACTATTTCTAGCCCTACTACTAATATTCAATGTGGATTATCATCATCATCAAGACGATCATCACGTAGTCATCGATCAAGATCACCATCAAGTGGTGGTGGTGGTGGTGGTGGTGATCATTATCATCATCGTCATGGAAGTGGTGGTAGTGGCGGAAGTGGTCAACATCAACATCTTCATGCTCATCATCATCATCATAGTAGACATCGACATTCATCAACAGGTGTTGTTGATAATGAAAGTAGTAATTTCAAACAACAACAACAATCATCTACCACTATTGGTGATCAAATGTTAACACCATCAGCAACAATAATAACATCTGTACGTCGTCGATCATCGTCGACAGTTGCAAATAATCCACTTATACAAGGTTATCATTTATTAACTGATCCACCAATATCTGGATCTGGTAATCGTTTACATCATCATGGCCATAATAATAATAATAATAATAATAATAATAATCATCCACCACATGAAACAATTATTTGACAACGAATAATAACAACCGCAACAAAATCATCATTTTCATGTTGATACACACACATACACATAGTATTAATGAATTTTAAATGAATTTTGATTGAATGTTGATGATGATGAAAAGGAAAAAGAAAGGTTTGATTCGAATGATAAGTGTGTAAGTTTGTGTGATGATGATTAGGGAATTTGTTAATGTTTTGTTTTCGTTTCAAATATGGTAATATGGCAATAATAATTTTCACTATTAGGTAATTTCCAATCAAATCAATGAATATCATTCTTGAATGATATTTTCGATATAATGCAATAATTTGTTGTGATTTTTTTTCTCCGCAAAAAAACAAAAAACAATAACTTTAACCTCAAAAAAACAACAACATTAACATTGCTCAATTCAAATCAATGTTGATGATTGATTTATTGATTGATTGATTGATTAACTTATCTTTTTTTTCAAAAAAAAAACAAAGCAAAAGTAGGAAAGAGATGAAGAATTTCCTATTTCAATTTTGTTTTCTCTTCATTAACGGAGGCCTCAAATTACATTATTCTTTACTTTTTGTTGTTCTTTTTTTCAAATAGTTTCTGTGTGTAAGTTTGTTTGTTTGTTTGTGTGTGTGCATTTATTCTCTACAATTTTTTTCTTCTTTCTTATCTGATTATCTTCAAGATAAGATATATGTTCATTGAGCAATAATAATAATTTTCTGATCCTGATCTTGATCATTACAATCAGAATTTTTGTGTGTTTGTTTAGATTTTCCTATGTTTTGTTTTCGTATGTTTGTCGTGATATTAAAACCAAAAAATAAAAAATTCAATAAAAATTCACTAAAAAAACAGCAACATTGCACATGCGTAAATTACATTTTTATTAATTTGAAATTGCTCATTATCATCATCATCATCATTTGCAGATGAATATTTTTCATTCATTTCAATTCACCATTGTCTCTGCCATTACATAAATAAAATACATTAGGATTCTCTTTTTGTATTTGTAAAAAAAACTAAACGAAAACTTGAAAATTTCAGTATTTTTTTCGTGTGTGTGTGTGTTTGATGTGTACTTGTAAATGTAATCAAAGATATTAGAAATAGAAACATTTAAAGCCGGACATAGATTGATTGATTGTTCTTCCAATTTTTTTTATTAAAAAAAATCTTTGTAAAAACCAAAAATTACATAACAGAATTACAAAAATTTAACACAAAACACACATATTTTGGTTGTCTAGAAATGTTTGTTTGTTTGTTTATTGTGCCATCATCATTTTTTTTAAATATCAGCAATAATGATTATCATCATCATCAGCAACTCAGATTCAATCAACAATCATCGTATGAAAAAAAATCATATTTTTTGTTTTGCCTTTTCTGGATGGGATTCAAAAACAAATGAAAAACATCGACCAACCAAAAAGTTTGAATATTCAAATCATCAAACAGTCAAATGAAACAAACACACACACACTATACTTGAATTTTTGCTTCCTTTTTCTCTCTCTTTGAATCCTTATCTTCCACACAGTGAATTTCATTTCAATTTTTTTTTCTTCTGCTTCTGCTTCTTGTTTTTCTTTTCCCCTCAATCCTTTTAACCCCATGATTTTTTCTTTTCTTTTCTTTTCTTTTTGATTCCATTGAATTGATTTCGGACCAAAAAAAAAAATGAAAAATGTTGAAATAATAATAATAATAAAAAAGGTAACTTATTCTAATTCTAACAACTTCTTTTCCTTTGCCATGTGTTTCTCGGTGTTATTGTTTCCAAAAAAATTGTTTCCGAAATTGACGGATTAACACTCTTTGTTTTCGCTTCATCTTTATATCTCGATTGAATCGTTATCAAGTGTCTTTTTTTTTGAATTGAAAATTTGGAATTAATGATTAATGATTTTTTTAACCCTTTCCCATCCATTATAGCCTAAACATATATTTTCTAGCCATACATCATCATTATCATTTATAGATTGTTGTTGTTGTTGTTGTTTACCTGTTTACTGTTGTCATCATCATGGGTTGTTCAATTCATTTTTGCTTTCAAAAAGCAAGAATTTTTGAAAATCACTAAATTATTTAGTTTGTTAAAATTAGTAACTGTTTTGATTGCATTGTTTGAGCATCCTTTTTGTGTGTGCTTTGTTTTTTTTTTTGCTTTTTTTGATCACCCAAATTCAAAGATTTACCTGTAGAATTATAATATGAGTGATTAACAAATTACACACACACATAACATTCAATATTTAACATCTAAAGGTAAGTTTGTCTTGTTTGTGTGTGTGTGTGTATACAGTGTGTTCGGGTATTCAGAATACTTTTTACTTTTTTATTTTTTGATTTGATTTGAATTTAAATGAATCTTGCTTTTACGAATAGATTCAGATAGATATTAGTTAGGTAGATATTAGATTAGACTAGTGATTTAGATGATGCACGTTGTTGTTGTTGTTGTTTTTTTTAATAACAAAAAAAAACAACTAATCAATCAATCAGATATCACTGTAATGTTTGTTTCGTAATTATAATTATTGGTTTGAACGGGGTTAATGATAAAGGATGAATGGATTAATGGATTTGGTAGTTTTTTTTTATAATTGTTGCATGCATCACTAATTAACTGATTAATTAATTAATTAACTAAAATTCAAAACAAAAAATTATCATTTTTTATTGATTTGATTGATTTGATTATCATTATTTTTTTTATTGAATAATAATTTTGGATTGAAAATCAAAAACATTTAACACTCAATCACACCAACACACACACACATACATCAATTTAACACCGTTTATACACATTGTTTGATTTGAAAATGTGAATCAACAAAATTATATATTGTAATGTTGTTTTGTTTCTGTGTGTGTGCACTATGTTTGTTTTTTTTAATTGCATCATCACATCATAATCTTCAAATTCTTGAATTTTTTCTGAATAACATCTTAAGATTTTACTTTCATCTTTTTTTTTCTAAAAAAATCTAGCTAATCGCATTTGCTATTTTGAATTTTGAATTCAATTTATACATTGAAATTTTTCTATTTCATACATATTTTACTTTCATTGTATAAATTTTTTGTTTTTTAACAATTTTTTTTTTCGTTTTTGTTTTTGATTTTGATTTTCAACGAACGAAAAAAAAAATGTAAATTTTTTTTACTAAAAAAAAATTAATAATAATAATATCAGATGCTATCCGGTGATCATCATCAAATGACTCGATTGTTTCCGGTTCCATATAGTAAAAGTGCTCTTGATCAAAGCGTAAGAATCTTTTTTTTTCTATTTCCATCCAATCAACCATATTTTCTTCCATTTTTTTGACACCACACACTTTGTTTTTTAGTTGTTCCCCAATTTTGCCTGTCAGATTATTTTCGTTTTTGCATTTTGCATTTTTATTTTGTTTTTTTTCTCCATCCAAAATTCAAATTCAATCATAACCAAACTAACCACACACACACACACCATTATATAATTTTATGAAACTCGATGTCGGTGATGATGATTGATGATGATGATGATGACATTTTTTTTGTTAACGTAATTCTAATTTCACCCTATATAGGTGATAGGTGTTTACAGGAGAGAGCGTGTATTGTGATTGCCATCTAAATATATTTAACTAAACTCTAAACTAACCAAGCTAATTTGATTGATTTTTTAATTTTTTTTTGTTTTGCATGTTTGTTTGTGCTGTGCTGTGCTGTGTTTTTGTTGTGTTAATAACCCTTTACTCGTATCAATGATAATTAATTACTATTTTTTTACCTGAAAAAAAATCGCTTTTGAAATAAATGCCAATGCGATTGATTCATCAAAAAAAAAAAACAAAATTTTGCAGTTTAAAATTTACCACCATTTGTTAAAACCACTAAAAAACTCTAAAACTGAATAAAAGTATGTGTGTGTGAAATTGGATTCCCAAGAAAATGAATTTTTTGCTAATCGCTGTCGCTGTTGTTGTTGTTGTTAACTTAATCGTAATCGTTAACGTTGTTGTTGTTGTCGTCGTTATTCTATGTCTAGGCGGCGCTGCTAATCAATAAAAAATAATAATTCTTCCTAAACAAAAAATTTCTAAAATTTTAAAAATTTTTTACTAATTTTTTTTGTCTTTTTAATTTTTTTTCTCCCAAAATTAATTTCATTTTTTTTCGTTTTCGTTTTGCCCATCAACCATCATCACCAAAACAAAAAAAAACCACCTGAATTTGATTTCCATGTTTTGTCCATTTGTGTGTGTGTGTGCGGTGTGCGGTGTGTTTGCGATTTCCATTAATTTCCATTTATGTAAATCTGCTTCTTTTGTAAAAAAAATGTCACTTGTCATCTGTCTATCTCTCTATCTATCTCACTTGAACATCGATATTTCAACCACTATTTCCATTTCCATTTCTGTTTCTGTTTCCATTTTTTTTTCCGTTTTTCTGTTTTTTGGTTGCATTCCTTCAAATTTTTGGTTTGCATCTTGCCTTTGTCTAATATTTTTTTTTTGTTTGCCTTTCTCCTTTACTTTTCTATACTTTTTCATTTTCTTTTTTGAAAAAAATATGCTAAATTGTATCACACAAATATTCTTTTTTTTTCTCTTCTTTCTTTCTTTTTTCTTCTTCTTCTTATCTACCTAAAATATCCTCTTCTTTCAAAAATCTTTTCTGTTTTTGTTTTTTTTTGTTCGGTGTGAAATCAAATCAAATGAAACGTCTCATTCTCTTCAATTGACATCAATCAATCAATGAATGAATCCTCCCTTCTGTTTTTTTCCTTCTTCTTCTTCTTCTTGTTTTCTGTTTGTTTGTTGTCTAAATGTGAATGCTAAATTGAAAAATGAAATTGAAAAATTAGATAAGAGTGGTAAATGCATTCCGTAGTGGAATTGATCGTAAAGTACCATCACCAATATTACGACGTGCTGCTGCAATGAAATCATTATCAATGGATGCAGGTAGTTATGGTAGTTATTCAAATTTATTTCCATCATCAACATCGGCAACAGGATTTGGACGTGGTAATATTACAACAACAACGGTTACAAAACCAATTCATCAACAACAACAACAACATTATCATCATAATAATCAAAAACAACAACAACAATATCTATCTCAAAATCAACAACAACAACAACAATATAATCATCCAACATCAGCAGCAGCAACAAGCACAAATGATGTTAAACCACGTTTACCAAAATCAGGTGAAAGTACTGATCTTGATGGTCTACAAGATGATCAAATTGAAGCATTATTACGTTCAGAAACTGAACAAGCATTATTAGAAGATGAAATGATGGATGATTTTGATGATAAAACTGATAATAGTTTAACAACAGTTATTTATGCAAATCGTATGAAAAATAACAATAACAACAACAACAACAATGAAATTATTATTATAAATGGAAACAATCAACAACAACAACAACAAGTGTCAAATAATAATAATAATAATTCAAATTTTCATAATATAATGTCGGATAATATACCAACAACAACATCATCATCACATCATCATCATCATCATCAAACATCTTCACCTTCACCATCATCAACACAAAGTTCATCAAAACCATCAACAGCAAATACATCGATTACGACTAAGCTCAGTTCTACATCAACATCAACATCTACATCACCACCACAAACATCATCATCACTTGAAACACCTGTCTAAAAATTTTCAACAAAATTAACGGAAAAAATTTGTGAAAAAAAAATTCTATCTAAAAATCTGTTTCCACTGTTGTTGCTGCCATCAAACACATTGATTTGCCTATCTTGATCATTTGATTATCATTGACAATTTTGTTTTTCCTCCATAAATCAAAAGAAAAATCAAACTACAACAACAACAAATGGTCTTCATTCATCAAATCTTCATTGGGAAAAAATATGTTTTAAAAACAGACTTCTTCTTCCTTAATATATATTATAAATATATCTATATTTTGATTATAATTATAATTATTATTACTGTTCTTCTTCTTCTAATTATTTCTTATTATTATTAATTATTATGTGATATTCTATTTTGCGAATTTATTATTATTATAACGAAATTATTATTATTATCGATTGAAAAATGTTGATGATTACACATCATAATGTTACTACTATTATCATTCAAAAGATTTTCTGGTTAAAAAACAACAGAATGATGATGATGATGATAAATCAAATCCAATCCTTTCATTTTCATATGTGTTAAATTCATCATCATTTTTTTTCAAATTGTAGGATAGTTTAACATACACATATATTTTGTGCTCACATATCACAACACTTACAACACACGCATATATATCATTTTCATTTAACCCTTTTCCCTCCATTTCCAAATTTCCTATTGGCCAGCCATCATCATATTATTTTTCTGCTTCCATATTTTATGCTTTTTTCTCTTCGATCTTATTATCATTTTTGTCTTGTCTTTTTTTTCGTTTTTCTCGTCAACACAAACATTTTAAAAAAAACAGATTCTGTCCAGGCTGAACTTTCTTTTTTCTTTCTGTCTTTCTTTCTGTTCTGTCTTTTATTTATTTTTTTTTTTTTTTAGTAATTTGTAATTTTCCTTTTATCATTGTTTGTTTGTTTTTTCTGGCCAAATGTTGATGATGATATTATTTTCCTTGTTGTTTTTTCCCCCTTGTTAAATACTTACTTAGTTAATCTGATAAAGATTCTACTACTACTACTACTGATCATCAAGCCGCTTAAAAAAATCATTTGCTTGGATAATATAATCGTTATAATAATACTTGTATATGTATGTATGTTTATGTGTGTTTGTGTGTTTTGGGTGCTAAATATTTTTTTTTGTTTTTTTTTTGTTTTCTAAAATCAACAATCAAATCAAATCAAATCAATCAAACTATTTAATTATTTTGGTCACACACACACACATCCATCGTACACAAATAGACATACACTCAAAAACACAAACATCCAAAGTGAAGAGAAAAAAAATTGATTAAGTAACTAATTAATAAATAATTTAATTAAAAAAAACTAAAAAACTAAAACTAAAAACTTTTTAAAAAATCTTAATCTTGAATATTGGTCTAATAAGGTGATTTGTAGTTGTTGTTGTTGAAGTTTTATCAATCATTTTAAGCGTAATTCATTCATTCATTCATTCAATCATTTCTACTGAATCTCGAAACAAACAAAACAAGTAAATCCAAGTTTTTTGAATTGAATCAAATGAATATTGCACCAAATTCGTGAATTTGATTCCTGAATTCGATACAGCCAGCCAGCAACCTTTCCATCAATGCTTCCTATCGCTATGCTGAATTGCTCAATTTTTTTGATATTGAAAAATCATTTGATTAATTTGTCTAATTATATTCTCTACAATTTATTCTTTTTTTCCCCCTCTTTCTATTTCTCTGTGTGTTTAACTTTTATATGTTTTTTTTGCGGGGGGTTAATTATTTGCACACACCTGATCATCCATCAAACATTATTATTGATTTTTGATTAGATGTCAATCACCGAATTGGCCGAACAACATAATAATCAATTCTATGAAATGCAAGATCGTAGTATGCGTGAAAAAAAAGCCAATCTACCATTGGAAGCAAGACGATCATTGGATTTTTCCTAACAAGAAAAAAACGAAAATAAATTCCTTTCTCTCCTTTACTGAATTATCATCATCATCAACATTTGTTTTTAGGTAGGTAGTTCATCATCAAAATCAATCTATTCAATCAATGGATTATCGATCGATTTGAATATTGAAAACAATCATATTTATTCAATGGTAAATCTTCATCATCAAACCAGAATTGTCATCATCATCATCATTATCATCAAGTTCCTTAATTCAGCTTAATCACACTATTTTTCTGTCCAAAAAATAAAAAAATTCCAAATTCAAATTTTAATTCAGGGTTATTTTAACAAAAAAACATATGTCCATACTATATTTACTTATTATGATGGAATTGACAAAAAACACAAAGCAAAAAAAAAACATTATCTAATCTCATCTTATCTAGTCTCTCTCTCTCTCTCTCTTTCTTTCTCTATGTTCTTTAATCCATTATTCTCTATCTGATGTACCTTATCTATCTATCTTTATTCTTTACCTCTCTTCTTTCTCTCTCTCTCTCTCTCTCTCTATTATATAATGCATCTAGTCAAACAACAACAACAAAGTTTCCTCTGAAAAAAAAAACATTATTATTATTATTATAAGATGATTATTTTGCAAACAAAAACAAAAAAAAATCAAATAATTTTATTCAATTAAAAAAAAACGAAAAAAAAAATTTTTCATTTATTTTCCAAATTTGATTGATTCGTTCCTTAAAACAATCATCAGATGTCGCTTGATTTGAACGAAAAAAAAAAATTCGGTGTTGGCATTTCGTTGTTCGTTTTGAGAATAGAAATGAGAATTGGGCGTCCGATTATTATGATGTTTTTTTTTTTTTTTTTTCCAATGAAAAGTTGTCATGGTTTTGGGGGAAGAAAAAGAAAAATGA